CCAGGTGAACTACTATCACTCCTTCCTGAAGGACAAGTAATTTTTTTACCTTAGGAAAATTGCCCAGACACTTGTAATTGGCTTCTAATCTACTCACTTTGGGCCACGTTAGATGACATGATTTGAACTGCAAATACTATAACCAATAAACAGTATGGCATGTTGCAGCAAAGGATCTGAAGTGCAGGTAACTATGTCAGATAAATGTAAGAAGTGTGTTATCAGTGATATATACCTCTGATAGATATGTAATGCACGCCTAAAACAAGATATATTTCTGAGCAGAAGGCCCTACTACTTTGGGATAATATTATGAGAGGGAAATATATAAATCTTTCCCCCCCCCCACCCCCCTTTTTTTAAAGGAAAGCTAATTGTTTTATGAGAGTTCACAAGAATTTCTCACAGGAGTGACATCACAAAAAAATGGAAAATACCCAATGAGAGTAAAGTTATAAAATGCAAACACACGGGGCAAAGGTATTCTTGAAAGATGACCATACTATCAACAACAAAATTATTTATCACAGATTACATTCACTTTTATTGTTGGAAGTTTAGCTCATGATATCAGTTACTTCAGTAGAGCAAGCCTTCTCATTTGTGACCCCTTTATGGTTATGATGTTACCATTTTGACATTATTTGTACTGTTAGTAGTTAAGATATCACTTGTTCAAGGTAGTGATTGGTTGTAAGTTATTGTTTTGTTGTATATCATGTTTCGTCTCCTTGTAACATTCATGTCTGCTTACAATGTTACTTTATTCTTTGTGCACATACATCATTCTGTAATTTATTTATTTACTAGGTGCCCGGGTTATTTGAGAAAGGTATTGAGTGCCAAGGTTGGTCTTTATCAGTTATGTATATATGGAGCCCCCGGTGGCGCAGTGGGTTAAACCCCTGTGCTGGCAGGACTGAAGACCGACAGGTCGCAGGTTCGAATCCAGGGAGAGGCGGATAAGCTCCCTCTATCAGCTCCAGCTCCTCATGCGGGGACATGAGAGAAGCCTCCCACAAGGATGATAAAAACATCAAAATTATCCAAGTGTCCTCTGGGCAACGTTATTGCAGACGGCCAATTCTCTCACACTAGGAGTCACTCCTGACACACATAAAAAAAGTTATGTATGTGGCTTGCAGTGGTCTCAGGAAGTTAGTGAAGGTACTGCGAGTCCCATCGTCCATGGTCCATTCTCCTCCAAACTGCACCAGGATGTAGAGTGGGTCATGGGGGCTCTGTGTGCCAAGTTTGGTCTTGATAAGTCATTGGATGAGGGTTGCAGTGGTCTCAGAAAGTGAGTGATGGTACTGCAAGTTCCATCATCCATGGTCCATCCTCCTCCAAACTACAGTAGGATGTAGAGTGGGTAATGGGGGCTCTGTGTGCCAAGCTTGGTCATTATAGCTCTTTGTTGGGGGCCAGAGTGGTCTGTGGGAACATAAGGGTTTGAAAGTACTACAAATCCCATCATCCTTTTTCTGCCCTCCCCCAATCCTCACCAGGACCTAAAGGGGTTCATGAGGGTTATGTACGCCAAGTTTGGTCCAGGTCTGTTGCTCGTGCAGTTCACAGTTGCCTGTGAAAGTGGCAGTCAATCAGAAAGCTGCCACATACACATATATAAACATTCACACACACACACACACACACATATATATATATATATACACACACTAGCTTGGGGACCCGGCGCTGCCTGGGTTATTAGAGAAAGTGGGTAATGGGGGTTTTGTATGCCAAGTTTGCTCTTTATTGGTCATTGGATGATGGTTGCATTGTTTTCAGGAATTGAGTGAAGGTACTTGAAGTCCCATCATCCATGGCCCACCCTCCTCCAAACTGCAGCAGGATATAGAGTAGTGCCAAGTTTGGTCTTTATCAGTCATTGGATGAGGGTGGCAGTGGTTTCAATAAGTGAGTGAAGGTACTGCAAGTCCCATTATCCATTGTCCATCCTCCTTCAAACTGCAGCAGGATGTAGAGTGCGTCATGGGGGCTCTGTGTGCCAAGTTTGGTCTTGATCAGTCATTCGATCAGGGTCGTAGTGGTTTCAATAAGTGAGTAAAGGTACTGAAAGTCCCATCATCCATGGTCCACCCTCCTCCAAACTGCAGTAGGATGTGGAGTGGGCCATGGGGGCTCTGTGTGCCAATTTGGTCTTGATCAGTCATTGGATGAGGGTCACAGTAGTTTCAGTAAGTGAGTAAAGATACTGCAAGTCCCATCATCCATGGTCCATCCCCCTTAGAACTGCATCAGGATGTAGAGTGGGCCATGAGTAGTCTGTGTGCCAAGTTTGAGCCTGGTCTGTGATTTGTAGGGGCTACAATGTTCTGTGGGAAGTAAATCGGGTGAAGGTACTGCAAATCCCATCATTTGTGGCCCATCCTACCCTAAACCGCACCAGGTTTTAAAGTGGACCATTGGGCCTCTGTGTGCCAAGTTTGGTCCTGATCTATCATTGGGCCACAGTGCTCTAAAGAAGTGAGTTAAACTACTGCAAGTCCCGTCATCCATGGTCCATCCTCGCTCAAACTGCACCAGAATGTAGAATGGGACTTGGGGGGGGGGGGTGTCTGTGTGCCAGGTTTGGTCTTGTTCTGTCTTGGGGCCACAAGGTGTTTTGGACTTTAACACCAACTATTCCTGATAGCTTCAGGCCCCTTTCCTATTCCTTCTGGTACCTCAGAATGTTGAAGTTGGCCAATCAGAGACCATATGCAAATACTACCACAGTGGCAGCCAATCGGAGAGCTGCCACATACACCTCCTCCACATACACACATACATACAAACACTCTCTTTTATTACACACACACACACACAGATAGATAATCTATCCCACCCTTCTCCCCACAAGGGGACTGTAAGAATTGTGACCCAAATTTTAGACATGAAAATTCACATGAACATTCCTATATATAATCTGAACTTCACTCATTCCCTATGATGGGGTAAAGAAAAGTGTGGCCCCTGTGACTCTTAGTCCCTATTGTGCTTTCCTTAACTCCCTAAAAACTTCTGAACTCCCATTTTAATTTGGGTGAAATGTCATTAAGAAAAAATGCTAAAATATTGACACATACAATAACTGAAGCATCCCAACCCATCCTCCAACTGTCAGGAAAAGCAGCTGAAACCCTGAAAATTACATCCAGAAGTGACTTACAGCTGTAACTTGTGGCTGACACAGAACTGTCCTCTCACAGTTATTACCTGCCTCTTCCTCAAGTATGTTACATAGTATGCTACAGTTCTGAGATAACTGACTATTTGTATACAGCAGGCATGGGCAAACTAAGGCCCGGGGGCTGGATGCGGCCTTCTGGATGCTTACATCAGGCCCTCCTCGTTTTCCCTATCCTCTTGGCAGAAGGACACAGCGACTCACAGTGTCCATATGCCAAAAAGATGGGGAAGAAGGCACATAGCAGCTGAGAGCCCTCTGGAATGCTCTCAGCCACTGTGTGTCTTGCCTTCCTTCCAACATAAGGATGGTGCTAGTGGCCCCATTCTTATGTCAGAAGGATGGCTCAAGGAAGGAACCCCAAGAGCACTGTCAGCCACCACCTGTCTTGCCCTCTGCCAGGTGTACTACCAAGAGGACAGCCCGAGGATTGGGGGAGGAGAATCAGGGCAGTCACTGTGTGTCCTGCCTTCCTCCCTGCATAAGGATGGGGCAATCAGCCCCATCCTTATGCTGAGAGGACAACCTGAGGATGACCCAGGCCCTGCCCTGCCTGCTCCTGGCCTCACCCTCTACTGGGTCCTCCCCACCCAGCATGTGTCCCTCCTGGCCCAGCCCAACTGGCAATGCCCATGCCTGGTCTACATCCACTCACCAAACAGTTAAGGCTGATCAGGGATATCAACTCCCATTTCCAGAGCCTGGATCCACTACACCCTTCTCTTAGTGAGTTCAGCCAAAGCTGCATTTGCCAAGCCTATCCTTGCCACATAGATACTGAATGTACAGGGGAATCCCAAGAGCTCTTGGGAAGGCCTGGCAACCCTACTTCCTCTTGTTTTTCTTAATTTTCATATTTCTAGACTAAGACAGGAGTTTGCTTGGAATAAAATGATTTTCCTCTTCAAGCACTTTCTGCTTATTTCTCTAGGTTTTCCTCTTCAGGTACATCCATATATTTCCCATGTTTTCAAATGCTGAGGTGAGTCTGGCGTCAGAAAGAAAAATATTTAAGTGGAAAATCTACATTCTAAAAAGTGAAGAAGTTAGGAAAAAATACATATGAATGTCCATGTAAACATGTCCAGGACCAGGGCTCAAATTAAATGTAAGAATTATGTTGGCTTAATTCTACTGGCCCTTGGATCTATGACAATGGGATTTCTAATTCCTGTGATGCCATCCCCTTGCAGAAATTTTCCCAACACCATCTGCTTGTGATCATTAGTTGGTGTGATTTTATAGCTATTTTATGCAATGAAAGTGCAGTGTATTGGGGCCATGCTACACAATCACCAGCAATATACTTACCTGAGAAAATCAAAGCAGCAATTGTTTCATACTAAAGTCCAGGGAACAAGTGTAATCATAGCTAAAACTTGTAAATGAATAGTGTTTGCTACAGGTGCAAATTTAGTACCTAAGCAAACCCATCGTCTTTAGCTAATCATGTTGCCTATGCTGTAGAAATCTTTTTTTTAAAATCAAAATATAATATAGTGTATCCTCAAATATTTTAGCAACATTACAAATGCCTTTTGGGTGTGTGTATATTTTCATCTAAAATAACAGTACATGTAAAATATTTAAATTGCAAACCTCTTTTTTTTTGAAAAAAATATAATCTGTCTATGGTGCCTATGATACCTACTAGATTCATCCTTCATGCAATTCCAGTTTATTAAAGAGGTTAAAAATTTACAAAAACTCTGATGGGATATGGTTTTAATGCTTCATCACACCACCCATCATTTGCTTTTCAATCTAGATCAGAATGATCTTTTCTACTTCCCTGCCACCACCTTACCTGCACAGCTAATATTTTCCGAGCGTTCTCATGAGAGGCTGCCTGGAACTTCGCCAGCCCGGCTTGGCTATGGAGGGCTCGCAGTTTGAAGTACTTCACCAATACCCTATGCAGCTTCCTTTGCAGCCGAGAGAGCTAAGAGAGGAAAGAAGGGGGGGGGAAATAAGTCAGAGTGGGAGAGGAAATTAATGGCAGTGTTCAAGAAGAATGATGGAGGGAAATATAGAAAGCAGTCAATAGCCCATTCTGCACTGTACGGACCTGACAGGAATTTCACAGTCTCTTGATTTTTCAGCCCACTCATGTGCATTCATCAGAAACCAGTCACATCTGGCTGCCAGGATGGGGGGTTAATTTTCTCTAAATGCCTCAGCAGTTTTGTTCTAGCTGAAGCAAACTCTGTGACTGCAAAGCTGATGAGTAAAATATTTCTACTTCACCCAGTTTAACTCAAAACCGATAGCCTCGGGACATATTGAACCTTTCTTTTTTTAAAAAAAATAATCTTTTGAAGCCTTGGGAATGGCGTATCAGGTCAGGCCAAAGTTTAAAATGCAAGTTTAAGACTTTGATGGACACTGTGGCTCATTTTTCCTTGTAAAGCTTATCATAGCTTGGCAATATGTGCTCCAGAGCATGACAAAACTAAAGAGAATTAACTTCACCATCAGCGGCTGAGGGAGAACAATAACAGGAAAGAAATTTTCAGATAGAAGTCCCTATTAATCTACCTAGCTATAACCATGTGACATGAAAGCATCTAACTGCACTAAATTGCAGTTAAGGCAGCAGCTGAAAGTGACACCACTATATCTATGTATCTATCTAGCTGCATGCACTTGCAGGTGCATATGCACACACAGCTTTGGACATTTCTGAATGTGAAGTAGATCACATATTTTGGCATTTCCCTTCTAATAAGTGCTATTACTTTTAAAACAATTGTGTTGTGAGATATCTATCTATCTATCTATCTATCTATCTATCTATCTATCTATCTATCTATCTATCTATGTATCTATCTATCTTGTGATTTAAAAGTGATGAGCACATTATCCACCGGTGTGTATTTATTTTTGTTTTCACCTTTGCAGAAAAGATGCACGTACAAACACAACATTGTCAGGCATGGCAGCTATTACTCATTTTGGGGAGGGGAAAGACCACAGGTGAAATTATATGATCTCAATATCCCATTTTTGTAAGATAAATGTAGCAGTTGGAATTATTAAATCTATCTGCAAAAAGGGATGTTGGGGTTGTTTTTCATAAACACCAGTTTTTCATACCGGGCGACACAACTCGTTTGACACAGGAAAAATTCCAACACACTTTACAAAAGGGGACCAATAATAGACCAGTTTACGGGAAGGGAAAATTAAAAACACCACTAAACAAACACCATCCTTGGGCCTTCCAATATTTGCATGCTTTTAGAGTAGAAAAAACAATAATTAAATAAACTATATTACAAAGTTTTGAATCATACACACATAAACAGTCATTTTTTTTGTCATGCTAGAATAGCCTCGGAAAATGGCAGTCCCTATTGTCAGTACACGACCTTTCTGAGCATGCTTGTCAACCAGATTAAAACAATGGTATAATGCTTTTTTGGAAATCTTCCAGCTTACTGAGGTCAGTACTGTGAACGCATGAATAAAAATATGTCTTAGAAAAAGGAACTATTCTTTAGTGACCGGTATCATGTACAATGCTCAGATCTCATTTTCAAATTATGTTCCTTACAATGAGAGTAGAAAATATTGTAAAATTCACAGAATAACTGAGCTGCAATATAAAAATTAATGGCCTTTTCACACATAATCAGCATCCAGTTTCCCTTGGCTCCAAAACAGTACATGAAAAATCTGAACAGAACACTGCCATGAAAATAGGTCTAATGCTAATGAATAATACTTGACAATATATAGTATTTTAGAATGTTCTGTGTACTTCAAATTCATTAATTGGCTTTTAGTTCCAATAAGCAATAAGCAAATATTGCCTATTTGCTTCAAGACCCAATACAAAGTGCAGTTTATTACCTATAATACCCTACACAGTTTGGGTCCTGCCTATTTACACATCCGCATCTCCCCTTATGAACCTGTTCGGGCTTTAAGATCGGCTGGGGGAGGGGGTCCTCCTCTTGATCCTGCCCCCACTGCAAGTGAGACTGGTGGGGATAAGGGAGAGGGCCTTCTCCATAGTGGCTCCCCATCTCTGGAATGGCCACCCCAGGGAGATCAGCCAAGCAACCACCCTCATGACTTTGAAGAAGGACTTAAAGACCTGGCTATTCAAACAGGCCTTTGAAAATGATTAGTAATACCCCCTAAGTGTGGACAAAGTTTTGTTTTATGGATATACTCAAGTATTTTGGCTTTTACCTAGTTTATTAAATTTCTTGGAACCACTGTGTTTTAAATGTATTCTTAATGAATGTTTTACTGTTTATTGTTTAATCTGTCTATTTTGTTTTATTTTGTTTTATTCCTTCTTAACTTGTCATTTATTTTGTATATATTGTTTATTGTATTTACTTATGTTGTGAACTGCCCTGAGTCCTCTTGGGGAGGTGGGGTGGGATAGAAATAAAGATTATTATTATTATTATTATTATTATTATTATTATTATTATTTTATAATGGTTAATGAGAAAAAAAATGGATAGCCCATTGCCTGTCCATTCTGATATAATGTCAGCAATTTTTAAAATCCAGTTTTCTGAAATTTGCATGTTAAAAACTGAGTCAATTATGAATTCATTTTCCATCTTGAAAAATTAAGTATATGTTGCTTTGATGGGTTGGGATCAAAAGAGCAAGTATATGTAATGAGTAATAGACATAAAATCAGAACCAATGATTGCACTGCCTGTAGTCCCAACACTTCTAAAGCATTCCATGTTGAGGAAGTATGCTCAATGACATAAAGATCCAGCATCCAAAGACTCATGCAACTAGGGCCCCATCTACATTGCCATATAATGCAGTTCAAACTGCATTATATGGTCAGTGTAGACATATAATGCAGATTGAGCTGCATTGAACTGAATTATATGAGTCTACACTGCCATATAATCCAGTTCAATTTGATGTATTGTCGAAGGCTTTCATGGCTGGAATCACTAGGTTCTTGTGGGTTTTTTCGGGCTATAGGGCCATGTTCTAGAACTCTAGAACATGGCCCTATAGCCCGAAAAAACCCACAAGAACCCAGTTCAATTTGCATGATAATGGGACCTACGTTTACATGAACCAGGATGATTTAGGTTCCTCAAGGGCGTATCTATACTGACCATTTACTGTGGAATGGGCCTGGATCAGCTCCATGGTGGCCAAATGCCACATGAAGCTGATCTGGAGTAATGTAGGGCAAGGACATCTTAGCATAGTTTTGTCCTACATTAACTAAAGTTGGGGATAATTCAAATACTGGCCCAACTTTCAAAGCTTTCCCCAACGTTGTGCCCATGTAAACAATTTGGTCAGTTCTGACACAGAAGTATTCACAACTGTTTTCACAGCTATCCTGTGTTTTCTGGGATCAGGAGAACCCTCCCATCCTCTGTGTTGCAACTGTTTCTGACCTTCCATTGTTATCGTCCCCTCTGGATTTGGCATGGATCCTACGAATTGGCTGCCACCTGCAATTATGTCAGCCAAGGTAACAAGGGCAGGAAGGGGAGAGGAGGGGGTGATTCCTCCCCGTTTCATGTTGCACCTGGAGATGGCTGCTTCATGAAGAGCAGGTAGGGACAGTAAGGGTGGCTGTCCAACAGTACTGAACCATGTTTGGTGCCTCTGGGCAATCAGGACTCGCTCTCCCATCTGCAGCAGCCAGAAAGGGTGCTTGTCTGACTAATCCAGCACACACCACAGCAGATTGGCTCCAAGATAATGGGTCAGTGTAGATCCGCCCTGTCATGTTAAGAGTCATGTAGAATCAGATTCCTATTTGATTAAATGTCGCTTCCCACCCCCCACCCCACATCCCACATGGTGCATGGCTAAGGACTAAACTACCCCCCCCCCAAAAAAAAAAAACCAAACCAAAATCATCACATTATGTAGACTTGTTTCTGCTGTTCAAATTGGCTTTTTGGAGGGAAATTCTAATAATGATGTTTTTGGATCTTAGGGTGAAGTCTATGTGAAATTTCAGCCAGCAAGATTATGAATATAAATGGCAGTTTGCGACACAAGAACTAATGCAGGGATTCTTCTCTCCAAAGAGCTTAAGAAAATACAAGGAAGTGGTAAGAGAGAGAAATATAAGAAACATGTATTTATGCAAATGTTACAATTGGAAGCAAAAAATGATTGAGGGGTTAAACCAAAGGCCACAGAAAATATATCCACTCTGAGTCTAAACCAATCTTGTCTCTTTCAAATAATAATTAAATAAACGAGAGAGTCTGAGATCTACCATATTAATTTAATAATCTAAAGTGATGCCACGTATTAAGTAAATAATATAAGCCATATCATTGTTACAACTCAAACACTGACAAAACAACTCTACAGATTTTGGCAGTGGAAGAATGGTAGAGTGAGGAGCAAAATCTAATATTTATCTTTCAATACTTCAGTACTACCATAAGTGCATAAGGTAAAAAGATATTTCTTTATTATCAAATCTGTTCCACCAAGGATTGTTGTTAAAGATTTTATACCTCATTTAAATAAAGCTCTTTAGTCAACAACCTGTAAATACTTTAGGAATGAATAAAACCATAATGGACGTAGTGAAGAAAAACAGCATTTCCATCTTTTTAATCTCAGCCCTTTTCTGAATGGTTTGAGAAGAGCTGCAATATGAAATATGACAAATCAAGAGGAAACATTTCAAGATCTAGAAATGCAGTTCTGTGTATAGCATTTAACATCATACAGGAACTACCGTACTATACAGAAATGTCACTTGCTGATTAAGAAAAGGTATTAAACAATATGAACAAAACATTCTTCTTTGTTATTATGTGTGCATCAGGCATGTGGAATCATTCTAACTTGGGGACTGCATGGTGAGCCAGAGCATGGTGGATGGGCCGGGAGGGAGGGGGTTCTCCCCAAGTCCCCTCCCATCCCTTTCCCCCCTTCATCATCTTTTTTGGAGGCAGAAAGTAA